CAGGAATTTGGCGGGGGAAAGAAAAAGAAAAAGGTTAGAAGAATCAGGTTAAAAAGTACCCATAATCACAGCCAGCCAGCGCTCAAGACAACGGCGTGGGCCATCCCTCAGGGCCCTTCCTCCGTGCACACACGCACACACACATGCATTGCGCATAGACATGTACACACACCCGCGCACACATGTCCACAGAGCGGACACGGTACTCAGCTGATTTCACGCCCTGCATATTTTCCCACGTGGTGCTGTAGGGAGACCACCTCAGTGGTCCAGATCCGGTTCCCCTGGAAACCGAGCTGGGTGGAAGCTTAGTGGTGTGGAGCGGCAGGGAAGGGGATGCACATCCAGCCTGCCACCAGGGCCTGCGTGGACACTGCGGGCACCGTGTGGGCCATGAGGCAGAGCAGGAAATCCACACCCTGACCTGGCTTTAATCCTAGCCCTCCCGGCCCTGTTGCTCACACCTCGGGGCAGCCGCTGGGGCCGCGTAAACCTCCAGGGCTGGTTGGGGGCTCCCAGGCCCTGGGCCGAGGGTGCCATGGATGAGAGGAGAGGCAGGCGGGGTGGGGGAGAGGCGCGAACAGGACCCACCCTCATGCCTTGAAATCCCGAATCCACACCAATGACCCCCTTCCCTCCCCCAATCGTGAGGGAGTCTCACCCCGGCGTTGTCTCTGGTGACCTGGGCCAGCTGCCGCCAGTCCCACCTAAGCCGTCCCCACCCCTCGCAGGGATCGACCACAGGACCACCACCATCCTACTGGACGGCCGGAGGGTCAAGCTGCAGCTCTGGTGAGTCCTCAGCCCAGCCTGGCTGGGGTGGTCTGGGGCCTCCTGCTGGGTCAAGCTCTGTCTGGGCCGCTGTCTGCAGCCCTGGTGGGCCTCCTCCTGGCCTGGAGCCCCCCACCCGCATGCGCCTCCAAGAACCCCTCTTCCTCACCCCCTGCATACCCCCACTAGGGGCAAGGCCTAAACTGAGGGCCACGGAGGCTGGGCCTCAGGAGGGCATGGGCTGTGTCTGGCCGCAGAGCCCCCGGCCAGTCAGCCGAGAAGTGAATCACCAATCACGGGTGACACCGTAAATCAGCCAAGCCACACTGTGTCCTGCTGCTCAGGGCCCCGGGGACCCCTTACCCAAGTCGCCCAGTGCAGGCGTGTCCCAACAGGCCCTAGAAAGGATTCTGGGAAACGGCGCCTGCTCCCCGAGCCACCTGAGCGCACACCACGGGGAGGCGAACCCGGAAGCCTTCTTTATCCATTTGTTTCCGGGAGCTCTGTGCTGGTTTTCTGGGTGCCAGCGCCCTGCGTGCACGGCTGTGGGCAGGGTGGGCAGCCTTCTTTCTGCCGTGCCGGGTACCCCACAGCCTGCAGACATATCTGAAGGGCTGGCTTCACGGGGTGGCTCTGGGCGGAGGATCCTGTTTCCGCCCAGTGTGGACTTACGCTTCTCAGACACAGCCTCCGCTTCAAGTCAGCCGCGGCTTAAAAGCCTGCAGTGGGGGGCCAGCGTGTGGTGTAGCGGTTATGTCACCGGACTCCCATGTAGTTGACCCTGGCTTGCGTTCCATACTCGGCAGCTTAAACCTCACACGGGGTGTGTGTGCCTGGCCAAGACCCCGAGAGGAGAATGGAGGAGAAGGGATCCCTGGGCGTCCTGGAGTGATTTCTCCCATTCTGTCTGTCTGGCTCACATGTGTCTATAGCAAAAAATCTCTCTAAGAAAACAAGATCCTGCAGTAGGTGTATTTAAGTGTCTGCACCACGTCTTGGAAGTGGACCGAGCGACGGCTGGACGGCGGTCTGTGTCTCTTCAGCCTCTCCCTGGATGGCGGATGACCTGTGCGGCGGGGGCAGCAGTAGGGAACTGTGTCGCGGAGGCCGGAGTGGGAGCAGCTGTCAGGAGGACGTACTAACGGTCTCCAATGTCTGTTCCAGGGATATGTCAGGGCAGGGAAGATTCTGCACCATCTTCAGCTCCTACTCGCGGGAGCGCACAGGTAACAGCAGGGCAGGAGCGGCACCTCCGGGCGCCCTCCTGGGGCAGTCGGAGAGGAGCCGGCTCCTGCAGAAATCAGCGCGGAGTGTCAGGCCATGCTGCTGGGACTCAGCCCCCTTTATCCTCAGGCTGTGTGCATGTGTACCCCTGAGCTGCATATGCCTGTCCATAGCTGGGTGTACACACGTGTGGCTCATGTGTGCATACGTGTCTGTACTTGTATCTCCTGGAGGAATGTCTTCGAGTTCTAGTCCCCAGCTCACCTTCCAAGTGAGGGCTCATCACAGAATGGCAAGCGCTGAGCCTCAGAGGTCCTGCTGAGGGCCTGGCGGACACTGTGGCTGGGCTCCACAGTCAAGCCCGCGGCCTCTCCCCCAGGGCGTGATCTTGGTCTATGACATCGCAAACCGCTGGTCTTTTGACGGCATTGCCCAATGGATCAAGGAGATCGATGAGGTAAGGCGCTGTGACCAGGCTGTTGCCCGACTCCGTGTGGACTTGGGGGGATGTCAGGCCAGGGCCTGGGGCTTGCGGGCACGGGGTGAGGCTTCGGCAGTGGGTAGATACGTCCCCTCACAGCCCGCTGCCCTGGGCTGGGCCCACGGTGAGCACTGGGAACCTCTCAAGCCAGAAGTCGGCTCCACACAGGAGGACAGGCTGCGGAGTGCTGGGCTGCTCCTGGACAGGCTGCCTGTGGTGGTCAGGCGGTCAGCAGGGGTGGGTGCTGGTGCCTGCTGCACCCTGGCCAGCTGCAGTGGGGACCTGGGCGGGCAGCAGCAAGCTCACTACTGCTGCCCAAGCCTGGAGTCCTAAAGCCCAGGATCCACCCTCTCCATTCTAGAGGCTGCCCCGCCTGGTGCTGGCGCTGGGGCCACTCCTCCAAAGCTCGGGGTGGCCCTCGCCCTGTGGCCCTCCAATCTCCACCTCCCCCTTAAGCGGTGTCCTCCTCAGAGACTGGAGCCCGCCCACTCCAGGGTGACCTCGTCTGAACTGCCACATCTGCAAACACCCTCTCCCCCAGGAGCCTGAGGAGACACCTCCCCACACGCCCATAGCACCAACACGCAAACCTACGTGCTCACCCTGCCTCGCCCTCTCTCACCCTGCAGCACGCCCCCGGCGTCCCCAGGATCCTGGTGGGGAACCGTCTGCACCTGGCATTCAAGCGGCAGGGGCCCAGGGAGCAGGCCCAGGCCTATGCTGAGCGCCTGGGCGTGACCTTCTTCGAGGTCAGCCCTCTGTGCAACTTCAACGTCAGGGAGTCCTTCACAGAGCTGGCCAGGATCGTACTGCTGCGGCACGGGGTGGACAGGCTCTGGCGGCCCAGGAAGGGTAGGGGGCAGGCCCAGGACGCCAGCGTTGAGGCTTTCCCGCGGCCTCCCGCGCGCCACGTTCCCGAAGGGTGAACGTGTCTAATGAGAGGGGACCGGTATTTGGGCTGTCAGGAGGCGCGTGGGCAGAGGTGCAGGCGGGACTGAGCCACAGCGACAGCTGGACCCCGGGGTGGGCCTGGGCGGGGCCGAGTCGGGAAGGGGGCGG